CTTAAAGAATCACTAAGACGCTTGGAACCTCATGATGCCACTAATTTTTTTATTCTCGAAAACTATCCGAGAGCCTGTTTATATGGGAGGCGGGTGAATGAAAGAATCTCCTGAATAGAATACATTCAGAATCATTTCAAATCGACTTATTTTGAGTCGAAAAAATGTAGCACTTCTATGTACAGAGAATACTGGGACACCCTGTATATTATTTAACTTGAGCAGAACAGCTTTTTTCTTGTAATTATCATGTTACCAATTATGCTATGTGCTGGCTATAAAGTGACTGATTTCGATAGATTTGTTAGTTTCAAAAAAAGTGCTTCAAACAAAATAAAGCACCCAATAGCAGCCAAAGAGAATTTGCTGTAGGCTGTGGATTTACCATAGACGATATATGTATTCACTGGTAAACTAGTAAATAAAATACAGAAGACTACTTTATTCTCCGATTGACTATTGACTTTTAAGAATCAGGTATGGGTGCCGTTCTGCAACTGCAATGAGCTAGGCTTATACTCTTGAAAAGTGTCAAAATATGAACCTTGCAAAGCATAAGCTGTAACGGTTTCACTTCTCGATTTTCATTTCAGAATCGCAACTCATTAATCCCATCTCTAGCTTTTTTACTTGGAAAAATTTCCGCTTGGAGCGCGCTTGATGCGGACAATAACATCCAGGTGTTGAGTTCCTGATCTGTGATCTTCGTCGAGCTTGTTTTTTTCACTTCAGCCGCCGATCTAACAACAACTGAGAATTTTGTTCTCTGTAGCATGAGGTCATATAGCACCATGTGCTAGCATTTTGTAGAATGTGTGTCTGAATAGGATAAAATGATTGGGGCCACCCCCTTTGTCTTTGCCTTTGTCTTTGACTTTGCCTTCCTTTGTCTTTGACTTTGCCTTTGTCTTTGAGTTTGCCTTCCTTTGCCTTTGCCTTTGCCCTTGTCTTTGACTTTGACTTTGCCTTCATCCATACTTTGGCTTACCTATTGCTTGGCCTATCACTTTGCCGTGCCTTCACCCATGCATGTGCCTTGGCTGCGCTATCACTTACAGCTTCATCCTTGATGAAGATTACCTTTAAGATCAACTTCACTGCATCCTTCGCCTACATCTAGTTTTGAAGCCACTAAATATGAGGTCACCCCTCATAATTGGGACCTCCACTTGAAGCCCTTGGCCATCCTCGCTTCAGTCCAGTCAAAATGGACCAGCTTAGCGGAAGATAAGTGGATAATTTTTGTAACAGCGCCAAAGATTTTGTTCTTTAAAATTTCAACAATGTTAAGTCTCAAATGTAATGAAAATGCTTTTCTAGTTTAATAAAATCTGTTAAATTTTTGTGTTCTGTTTGTTCTTCTATCCTCTAGCCATGCCATGGTCGTCACACAGCTACACGCCTGTGCCTTCATGCCACCGAGTGAGCTACCGGAAGCTAATGGTAACCCTCTTTCTGTGATTGTGCAGAAAAGTTGGAATCTTCATTGCATTCCATCTTTTCTGGACTTTTTGCGGAAAGGAAGGCTTACAAAGCCAGCTCTATAACGTTTAAGTTGTGTAATCTGGAGTGTATAATTGGTTGCCTATGCTTTTACACCTTGCATAAAAGTCCTGGACTGGACTGGTTTTTGCACAGTGCTGTCAGTCTAATGCAGTACAGGTACCCCGAATCAATACAGGGTTTCCATCCGCGCGATGGGAGCTTTGGAGCCCTAGTAATACAAAAAAGAAAGCACGACAAAACATATTTGCCGCAAGAGTACTCAAAGATTATTGAAAGTACAAACAAAAACTTTACAGTCATCCATACACAGGAAATACTTTTTTATTCCAAGGCCCATTTGCAAGTGTTGTTTGTGAAGAATCATTTAAGGAAGAAGAATAAATTTACGATTTCAAGGTATTGGATCGCGTGCTATGAAAAACTAGATAATGAAGTACTATTTAAATGTGGTGAAACAGTATTTTTGTATAAGTTTAATATTTTTGAAATCCGAGATAAGAGGAATTTGCAGCCCCCGACTTTACACAATCTATGTGCCACTATGTGATCGGTGGTTCCATGAAGAGATCAGAAAATATCATCAGAGTTTTTTGCCAGATGATAAAGAAACTTCCGCATCAGAATTTAGTAAAGATAAATATATGAAAATGCTTTAAGTTTTTATTAAAAGTTGGATTAAATCATATATTAGCTTATTTCGGTCAGTGACTTAAAAAAAATAACATTTTCAACGTCAAAGTTTGTTTTATTTTAATTTTATTCCTTACAAAATCAAAAAATTTGCATAAGCCAACCAAGTCTATCAATCTTACACTTATACATACACTTTAATTGGACGTTTCTTGACAATTTAACAGATATAAACGTAGCTTTGGAAACATTTTATAACATTCTTCGTAAGATTTTTAATACGTGTGTCCCTAGGACAAGTATCAGATCTCTCAAATTTCCAGTTTGGTTTAACGGTGAAATGATTAGACATTAAAAGAAAAAATTTGCTACACAAAAAGTTTAAAAAGGATAAAAGTTTGATCACATACACTGAGTTCAAAGACTTAAGGACCAAAATTAAGCGCGATGAGCGTAACGCATATCAAAAATATCTAGTAGATATCCAAAGTAGCCTATCTCAGGATCCGAACAATTTCTGGTCATTTATCTGTAATAAAAGGGGACAAAATTCCACAATCAGCCAAGTAAACTATAATGGTAAGCAGTATGACAAACCCAATGAAATTGCTAATGCTTTTGCGCTATTTTTTCAATCTGTATATACTATGCCCTCGAACGCAACTGATATCAATATTTCGGACTGGCATACCAACATAATACTTCAGAGCTTTCCCGAAGAAGAAGTTTTTACAGTGTTAAAGCAAATGAAAAATAAATTTACCTCCGGACCCGATGGATTCCCATCATTTTTAGTGCGTGACTGTGCCTACGTCTTAGCTCATCCCTTGACAAAGATCTTCAACCTATGTTTAAAGACTGACACGTTTCCTGAAATTTGGGGCGAATCAAAGGTGCGTCCCATTTTCAAGAAGGATGATAGACTACAGGTTGAAAATTATAGACCGATAACCCTAGTATGTATCTTTTCCAAGGCCTTAGAAACTTTGCTTCATAATTTCCTATACCACAATTCACATACCTAAATAAGTACTTCTCAGCATGGCTTTATGAAGGATAGATCAACCATAACTAACCTAGCCTGTTTTACTCAGTCAGTCTCCTCTGCGTTAGATGCTAATAGCCAGGTGGATGTAATTTATACAGATTTCAGTAAAGCATAGATCACAGTATTCTGTTAACGAAGCTGAGCTATTTTGGATTCTCCCCCAAGCTGTTATCCTTTCTTAAGTCATATCTATCAGGAAGAAAGCAATATGTTGAATATGAGGGTGTCAAATCCATTGAATTCTTCCCAACCTCAGGGGTACCTCAAGGCTCCTGCTTAGGTCCTTTGCTTTTCATACTGTTCATAAACGATATTGTTAGTGACATCGACAGCAGCCACTTAATCTATGCTGATGATCTGAAATTTTTTCCAATGTCGACTGCAGCACTGACTGTGCTCACTTACAAGAAGACCTAGCCAAAATAGTTAAATGGTGTGCTGTAAATCGACTTCCAATTAACTACAGTGAATGTAGTGTTATGTCTTACACCAGAAAGCTAGATATTATTGCATTTGACTACAGAATTGGCAATCATTCTCTGCTTAGAGTACAAGAATGCAAGGACCTGGGTGTGATTTTTGACATGTCACTTAGCTTCAATCCTCATATTGAGTACCTTATTAATGCTGTCAACAGAACAGAACAGAATTAAGTAACAAAGATGCCATGATTATGCTTTATAATTCATTCATACTGTCTAAATTAGAATATGGACGGCTAAATGGAATCCATGCTATGTTACAACTTGTGGCTCTCTGGAGAAGATTCAGCGGAAATTTCTGAAATTTCTTTCATTCAAAATGGACGGTACGTACCCACCCATTGGGGTCCCACAGGAAGACCTGTTACGTAAGCACAAGTTTATCAGTCTTGATAACAGAAGAAAGATTCACTCGCTAATATTCCTGCATAAAGTAGTGCATAGCAGTTATGATTGTCCATCATTTCCAACACAGATTAAATTTAATGCTCCAAAATTTGTTACTCGCAATACACTCACTTTTTACCTACCTACCCCACGAACTAACTTACTGTTGCACTCACCTTTGTACTCGATGTGTTCATGTTATAATCGTCTACAGAGTACATTTGATTTGTTCAACACAAGTATTTCGAATATTAAGAGAGTTTGCAGTGAAATGATTTAGTTTTTAGTTTTCGTTGTATTTTTATATGTTTTTCTTACTATTTCTATTGTTGTTTTGCCACCAGTAATTGGTTAACACTGTTGGTGGTGGATTTCAATAAATATAGCTTATCTTTTTAATTTAATGATTGATATATTTAAAAATACAAATACGCAAATTTTCAGCATCTAGTAAACTCATACCAAAAATATTTTTTATATGTACTTGAGTGGCTTATGCATTGGACCCCTAAATTAAAATTCTTTATGGCGTAGATATTATCATTATTGAAATACATGAGAAGAATCAAGAATATTGAAAGCTATCACAATTGTCCATTTTTTAAATTATAATCTGGGTAACAAGACGAATCAATCACTCAACGACGATGAAGCTTATGGGGTTTACAATTAATTTTATTCCAAGAAACCTTCAAAACCAAAAGGAAACGACTAAAATTCGATTATGAATAATGAAAAATGTCTGGGACATTTCACCAAAGGAATTGGAAAATGTGATTTTAAACACCTAGTCATCATGTAAAAATTCCACACGTAATACATAAAAATTCCGGGACCATCATTTGCATCGGAGCAATATAAAGCTCTAGTGATTTTAAAGGACCTCCATGTGACGCACAGGAAATTTAATTGTTGAAATAAGCAGTAAGTTCTCAATATCTACTTACCGTCTTTCTACACTAGAAGATCCACCAGTAGCCAAAGCGCATGCGTCAGCCCTGAGACAGTCATTGGCGGTTTCGTATTGGGCACAATACATTTCCACGTACGCTTGATATCTGCTGATATTTCCGCAGGTTTGATTTGGCTCGTTGATTATTCTTACTTGCATTTCATCGAATTCGATCACATTGTTTCTTGACCACGAGATATTCAGGCTGGAAACGCAAAAGTTGTTCCGTCAGATCCAAATACGGACATTTGCTTCCCATACACAAAATACAGAGTGTCAAACTTGTATTAAAATATCGGTTTTTCCTAAAATGCTGATAAGCTATCATTCGACTTTGTTTAAATCTGATAGTGGTTTTACGGGCAACAAGGGGCTAGTATGGCCCCTATTAGATTGAAATTATTAAGTTCGGTGGCGTCCCCGAAAACCCCTTAACCAATATCTTTGACAAAAGATTTGTGCGTCACTGACTTCTTCCAATCTTTCTATTTTTCTGAATTAAGCAGCTAAAAATGCTTTCTTGCCTTCTGGGTTTCTTTCATATCTTGCGTCGTTTTTTCGTACAAATTAATATAATAATTTATAACAGCAATGTTTTAAAAGTCACAAAAATGAGACATGAAAAGAAAGACAATTGCTGCTCGACTTTGACATAACTTACTTAAGGCAGTGCGTAAGCAACAATCGTAATTATTTGAAGTGAGATTAGGTATTTTTCCTGCAATTCAATTACAAACGTTCACAATAAACTGAGTTGAAGAAAATGCCCATGCGGTTACATAAGTTAATTTTCAGCAACAGTTTTCAGCGAACGTTTGGATTGGTATTGAGGCGATTGTCTCATTGGACCACATTTTTTACCCCTGAGATCAAATGGTCAAGACTATCCTTACTTTTTGGAATTTATATTATCTAAACTAGATACTAAAAAATCTCCCGCTGAGAGTAAGAGGAACAATCTGATCTATACACATTGGGGCTCCACCTCACTGCAGCATAGCATCTCGCCAATTTTTGGATGCAACTTTTGGAGAGAACTGGATCAGGTGCGCAGGTCCACAGTCATGACCACCCAGGTCACCGTATTTAAATCCGTTAGATTTTTTCTTTGGGGTCATTTAAAGTCCCTAGTTTATAAAATTCCAGCCAATACTAACGAAGAATTAACCCAACGGATATGAGATTCATGTGATCGGATAATATTTCAACGTATCCGGCAATAATCAATGTTAAGACGAGCTAATGCTTGCACTGAGGTTAAAAGAAGCCATTTCCAGCAGCTACTATAAGTGTATATTTGCTGCATCCAAAAATTGCACAGAAATCAGTGGCGTACATACATCTTTTTGTCAAAAATATTCATTCAGATTCCGCTCAAAGCTAAATTAGCTCCTTAATGTTATAAATACCACCGCCAAATTACAAAGAAATTAGGTGAAGGATGTTTAACATATTTACGACAAACCATTTTTTTAAATTATAACGCCCTGTACGTTGAGTACGAAGAATTTAAGGACCTACGTCTATGTGAACCTGTTGTCTTAAAATTACCCAAAGAATTGTCTGTTCAATTTATGGTACATTAACACCCTGTATATTTCTTATATCTTCTACTTCAGCGGATAATGGAAATTGAGATCGATTCCAAGATCAAAAAGGCCATCGGGTATTGATATGAAAATCCCAAAGCTTTGTGGGGTGGGCTGGCAAATTTTTATCACCAACAACAAATACTTTTTGCTGTGGAATATTAAACTTCTACAAAAAATACTAGAAAATCTTCGACTCGCGTGGTAATGCCAATTTATCATATACAATGGTTGCATACCTTTCTTTTCAATGTTAAAATATCGCACAGTGTACAGGAACATGGAGCTTACCTGATATACTCTATTCTAGGGTTTCTTAATTTTTTGTAATCCTGGACATAAACGATGCCCATATTCTCGGTGATATTGAAAATTTGTCCATTAATTCCGCTCTTCTCTATCATCCTAAAGTGCTTACAGTCAGAGGCGGCAGCTGCTTCTGGCTGTGTGACTCTTGCGAACGGTGCTGCTGTCCTAAAAAAGTCAAGTATATATACAGGGTGTCTGACGGAGACGGAGATATTTTAGAGGCGATTCCTTGTTCAAAAATACGACAAGAAGCATCTATAAACACAAGTCCGGAAATGCAGACTTTTCACGGTACAGGGTGGTATATTGAAAAAAAAACCTAAACTTTATAGAGAAATTTCACAAATAAAATTAGTTGGATAATTCTTTTCTGGAAGAACTGACGCGCAAATGTCAAACTTCGATGCAGGAATGATTTTTTGTGCAAAAATTAATAAACCAATTTTTTCCAATGACATGCAAATATCTGTACTTATTTTTTTCTCGAAAACGAATTGAGGTACGAAAAAATACAAAAGGCAAATGATTTGTATTTCTAAACCGTAAATAGAAAAATTACAAAAAATGCAGTCACGCACACTTTTTTTTGCCAATAATATTCGCTAAGAACTAATAATTCCGATCTACTTAGGGCTAAATAATCCTCGGAATACAGCAAATATTATTGCAGAATTTCAACAATATCGAGTGAACATTTTTTGAGATATTAATAAAACAAGCATTTTTTGTAATATCACCTTGTATCCTAAAAATCACCCTCTAAGATATCTCTGTCTCTACCCTGTATATATATCAAATAATACCTAGTACTTTCAACTTTAAATGTGTATTGTGGTATAATTGACCAGACGGTAATGGAATTACTGATTACATGGGGAACACGTGCTGTTAGATTTCGACTACATATCCTTCGTGCGCGAATGTGGATCGAAGTTTTAAATGATGCGTTCTGTTTTTGATATTAGAAACAACCAAATAGGAAGCTGTCAGATATTAAAGGTAGTATTTGCGGTAAACCAAAGCGGTGTAACTTTGGTGAGGCACTTTGGCATTTATATATGTATATCAGTACTGGATTGTCCCATCACTGCACATCTCTGATTGACAGTTGACACTCCAGAAGCAGCCTAGCTCTTAAAACAAATAACAAAATATAACAAGTTCTCCAAACCTCTTCCTACATTCATTTTTGTTTCTAATTGATACTGCTAGACGATGAAGGTATGAAAAATTATACGTTTACGAATAACGATGAATAAGGATTAAATATCGCACGACGTATTGCTTGTTTACAAGGTATGAGTTGACAGTAAATGATGGTTTAAACTACTTAGATGCAACAAGGATGACAAATTTTCTGAAATATGGTTTTTCCAAAAAAAGAAAAAACGATACATTTACACAAGTATCTTTAATACGTGTGTGAACAGCTTGGATATGAACGTAAAAAGCTCAGGACTGCTATGCAACAACAGATCTCCCTCAACCATGCTATTGAAAATAATAGGTAAAAAATCAACCTATCATTTCGCTCATCTTGGTTGGCGGATATAAATAACGGTCCGTCATTTATAAACGTAATAAAGAATAGTCAAACTATATGAAAATCATCCTGATTTTAATGCTGAAAACCGTAATGTTACTTTCAGAAGGTGCCCTTATTTATGAAACTTCTTTACGACCTCATTTCAACAAAATCCACTGATATTTAGATATCTTTAACAGGTTTACAGCAAACTTCATTTCAATAAAATTAAGCTGCCTGTCAACTTTTAGTATACGGTGAGATTCAAATTCCAGAAGCGCGGCATAAACTTTCAGTATGTAGTATGTTGGATACTTCATTTTAAGCTAGTACAGCCAAAGCTCTAACATCCTGTAGTCACCCACGAGTCCAAACTATGTTGCTTCACTTTGAACCGACGTGAAATGATCTGCTAAAGTAGTGCGAAAAATTAGTGCACATCAGGATACTTGGAGCAAACTGAATAGATTTTTCCTTGTTTCTCATCGTAAATGCGTACACTTACCGAAATATTTTAACTAGTGGCTTTGGATACAAAACTAGCATTCTGCTCGCCATCATAGTCAGCGGTTGAGGTTCAGGAAATAGTAAGTGAACTGGTGTCTCTGCCTGAAATATGAAAAGCAATTACGTTCCGGCCTCGTCTCATAAATATAACAAGTGTAGTTCGTCGCTTCCCGGCCGAATCCACGAGTTCAAAGCGCGCACACAGCGAAAAGAAGCCACAACCGCGCCCTCCCACCTTCCTCCACCCTGGCCCGTGGCCTACCAACCCTCATTCCGTAGTCGCATGCCAAGCGGTTCACGTCAAGTTACGCGCGCACCGATTCACTAGGGTCGAGATGCCCAAACATAAGAAACGACAAAGAAAAAGCTCCTCATACGAGCGGTCGCTGATCACAAATATTTGACAACGGGAGCGAACGTGGGTCGATGATTATGATGTTCATTGTCGGAAGATCCAGTAGGTTACCTTCGGGTTTCCCTTCGTCGCAGAGGTGGAAGATAGCAGCGGTGTATTCTTGAATCACCAACCGCCACAGATGCAGAGTCAGAAAGTGGCGTGCTGGCATCTTTTTCTGAAGGGCGTTATCATCAGCTATGTATGGACGCTTCACCGGCGTTACAGACTGTGCCTGGCACGAAGTTTGTCAGTCAGCTCCACACCAAGGACAAACTAAAATATATATTTGGGATAACGGTGCAACATTGGATCCGGTTGCCTTTCATAGCAACATGAACCTGACTTGTGATAGTCAGCTCCACACCGAGGACGAACGAAGGCATTCGGGATAACGTTGCAACATCGGACTCGGTTGCTTAGGATAGCAACGGGGACATGGCTTGGGATAGTAAGCTCCACACCAAGGATGCACGAAGGCGTTCGGGACAACGTTGCAACATTGGACTCGGTTGCTTTAGATAGCAACGTGGACCTAGCTCGTGGTAGTCAGCTCCACACCAAGGACGAACGAAGGCGTTCGGGACAACGTTGCAACATTGGACTGGGTTGCTGTGGATAGCAACGTGGACCTAGCTCGTGGTAGTCAGCTCCACACCAAGGACGAACGAAGGCGTTTGGGATAACGTTGCAACATTGGACTCGGTTGCTTTAGATAGCAACGTGGACCTAGCTCGTGGTAGTCAGCTCCACACCAAGGACGAACGAAGGCGTTTGGGATAACGTTGCAACATTGGACTCAGTTGCTTTAGCTAGCAACGTGGACCTGGCTTGTGATAGTCAGCTCCACACCAAGGACGAACGAAGGCGTTTGGGATAACGTTGCAACATTGGACTCAGTTGCTTTAGCTAGCAACGTGGACCTGGCTTGTGATAGTCAGCTCCACACCAAGGACGAACGAAGGCGTTTGGGATAACGTTGCAACATTGGACTCGGTTGCTTTAGATAGCAACGTGGACCTAGCTCGTGGTAGTCAGATCCACACCAAGGACGAACGAAGGCATTTGGGACAACGTTGCAACATTGGACTCGGTTGCTTTAGATAGCAACGTGGACCTGGCTCGTGGTAGTCAGCTCCACACCAAGGACGAACAAAGGCGTTTGGGATAACGTTACAACATTGGACTCGGTTGCATTAGCTCGCAACGTGGACCTGGCTTGTGATAGTCAGCTCCACACCAAGGACGAACGAAGGCGTTTGGGATAACGTTGCAACATTGGACTCAGTTGCTTTAGCTAGCAACGTGGACCTAGCTCGTGGTAGTCAGCTCCACACCAAGAACGAACGAAGGCGTTTGGGATAAGAATGCAACATTGGATTCGGTTGCTTGAGATAGCAATGTAAACCTGGCTTGTGATAGACAGCTGCACGCCAAGGACCAACGAAGGCGTTTGGAATGGCGTTGCAACATTGGACTCGGTTGCTTTTGATAGCAGCGTGAACCTGGCTTATGATAGTCAGCTCCACATCAAGGACGAACGAGGGCGTTTGGGATAACGTTGCAACATTGGAGTCGGTTGCTTTAGATAGCAACGTGGACCTAGCTTGTGGTAGTCAGCTCCACACCAAGGACAAACGAAGGCGTTTGGGATAAGAATGCAACATTGGACTCGGTTGCTTGAGATAGCAACGTGAAACTGGCTTGTGATAGTCAGCTCCACACCAAGGACGAACGAAGGCGTTTGGGATAACGTTGCAACATGGGACTCGGTTGCTTTAGATAGCAACGTGGACCTAGCTTGTGGTAGTCAGCTCCACACCAAGAACGAACGAAGGCGTTTGGGATAAGAATGCAACATTGGAATCGGTTGCTTGAGATAGCAATGTAAACCTGGCTTGCGATAGACAGCTGCACGCCAAGGACCAACGAAGGCGTTTGGAATGGCGTTGCAACATTGGACTCGGTTGCTTTTGATAGCAGCGTGAACCTGGCTTGTGATAGTCAGCTCCACATCAAGGACGAACGAGGGCGTTTGGGATAACGTTGCAACATTGGAGTCGGTTGCTTTAGATAGCAACGTGGACCTAGCTTGTGGTAGTCAGCTCCACACCAAGGACGAACGAAGGCGTTTGGGATAAGAATGCAACATTGGACTCGGTTGCTTGAGATAGCAACGTGAAACTGGCTTGTGATAGTCAGCTCCACACCAAGGACGAACGGTGGCGTTTGGGATAACGTTGCAACATGGGACTCGGTTGCTTTAGATAGCAACGTGAACCTGGCTTGTGATAGTCAGCTGCACGCCAAGGACGAACGAAGGCGTTTGGGATAAGGATGCAACATTGGACTCTGTTGCTTGAGATAGCAACGTAAACCAGGCTTGCGATAGTCAGCTGCACGCCAAGGACGAACGAAGGCGTTTGGGATAACGTTGCAACATTGGACGCGGTTGCTTTTGATAGCAACGTGGACCTAGCTTGTGGTAGTCAGCTCCACACCAAGGACGAACGAAGCGTTTGGGATAGCGTTGCAACATTGGAGTCGATTGCTAAGGATAGCAACGTGGACCTAGCTTGTGGTAGTAGGCTCCACACCAAGGACGAACGAATTTCTTTGGGGTAACAACTTAACACTGAACTGCGTTGCTTGTGACGGTAGCTTGTACTTAGCTCGTGATGGCTACTACAAGTAACACTGAAAGCGTTTGGGACAACGTAGGGACCCTGTATGGTAAACAATATTTTCCCATTTGCTTGTGATAGCAAACTTCATCGGGTTTGAGATAACCAAGGAACTGTGGGTATTCACTTGACGGGCTAGGAAGCTGCCAAAGTACCATGTAAAATTAATAGGAGACAGACATTAGGTACATTCTATGTGAGCGATGCACATCAAATTCTGACTATTTTAGTAAAAGTGAATGTTTGGCGTTAGACACATGGGTTGCTTCAAGAGCTGAGAATCCAACAATTGGAGTTCTGATAAATTGAATTGTATATCAAACCTCATTACAGTATATTCCGATAAGAGATAGACTGGACATAAACAAGACCACGTGATCATCGAACGCTGTAACATTCGGCAGGGACGTATTAAAAGTCACGCAGTACATATTTTAGATAGTAGATGCTGCTTTGCGTAACTTTGTAGTAAATTAGCACAATTCGATGTGTATACGATTGGTGATGGATATAGGATCATGTGTGGGTGGGGTAAGAAATATATAATGATGTAAATATACATAATGGTTTCAAAATTTTCGCTTCGATTTCCAGCTTCGGATGCCGTCTGATGTTTGGTGAAATACAGTCGAATCTAATCTCAAAATGGCGTTTAAATTAGCCTAAATTAAAAATAATCGTATATCTCTTAAAATTGGTTTTAGAATAGTGATTAGTATATTTTTTGATTTCTAGGTAAATATGTAACCAAATTAAAACGTTCAAAACGTAAAAAAATGTGCATGGTTGAACATTGTCAGAAAGTAGATTCTTGAATAGGTTTTGCCAAAATGGGTTCAAAAATGTCAATAATTAATTAAAAAATACAGTAGCTTTATAATTACTTATAACTTACCGAATTTGATGAACGACATCGTTTATTGGAAAGATGAGCTTGATGAGCTTCCATCATCGCTACTGCCTGAAGCACCAACGTCAATAATGAATGGCTCGACTAGTTCCTCTAAAATATTGTCCAGTTCCCACATTCTCTTTTCAACTTTGTCTTTCACGTGCTTAATACAGTTTTCCCATTTTTGCGCTGTTATTAATTCTAGTGCTTCTTTGAAAAGTCCTTTGAGGTCACAAAATTTAAAAGTTGTATTGTGGTTAGCTATATAATTTTTAACCTCTGCCCATATGAGCTCAATGGGATTGAGCTCGCAATGGTATGGAGGTAAACGGAGCACAGTTTTATTTTGACTTGCTGCCTTTTCGTCAATGGCGTATTTTTGATATTCCGCCTTGTGATCCTTGACAATTCTTAATAATTGTACTTTCAGCATTGCTTCTTCAAAGTTGATATTTTTCGAGCGGAGCCAATTTTGAACATCAACTTTCCTTGAAGCCGTTATTGGGACCTCCTCCATTCTTTGAGAATGATAAGGCGCAAAATCCAACACAATTACTGCGTTTTCCTCTAAGTTCGGTAAAATTTTTGAAAACCACTGTTCAAACGATTCGTCATTCATTTCCTCGTGGTAATCTCCAGTTTTCTTAGACTCAAAGCACCACAGACCGTCAACAACAAATCCATCCTCACTGCCAATATGGCAGATAATGAGCCTTTTCCATTTACCTGGAAATCGAAGTACTAACTGGTGTAGATTTATTTCAATAAGCGAACCTTTTTCAAACGTTTTCATCACATTCAGCGAAAAAACATTGAGACATGAGTATCAGATTGCTATAATTGGGATTATTTAGTCATATTGAAAGAAAGAATATTGAACGTCGTATGATTACTCAGCGCTTCACAATTTAATTTAACGTTATAAACCGCTAAAAAATGAATGATCAGGAACCTGAAATACGCGCAAATATTAATATTAACAAATTATAACTTTATAAAGCTTAAAGTATGAATTAAAATGATTAGAAATATTAGGAACGGTACACAATATAAAACTTAGTAACTTTTTTTAAGTTTATAATATTCGACATATTTTAAGATTATATTAAAAAATTATTGAAATATCGAAAAC